GCGAGACTCTCGTACGAGACGCGAGACGAGACGAGACTTAAGGCTGCGAGACGAGACTCGAGACAAGACTTTTTATTTATCGGCGAGACGAGACAAGACTTTATGAAAGTCTCGTCTCGTTGGTCTCGTGGGAATCACTACTTTTAAAACCTTATAGCCTTTTTTGTTGTGGGTACCTTTAGATTGTACAGGGTTGTTCCGTACATTTTGCCAGCACAAAGCTCGCTCATGAAGCAAGATAGGAAAAACGAATTTACGAGAACTGCTATATTAAATATAACTGGAGTTTAAAAATGGATTTAATTGCAGTTGTCATGAACATAACAATTGTCTACACGTCATTAATAAGTAATATTCATTAATTTTTATCGCTCAAATTTTCTAAAAGTAATATTTTACAAAATCGTTTCACAATTCACTATTAATGACGGCAACAATTGTGATTTGGTAAAACAATTAAGTCTATTTTTAAACCCAAGTATTCCAAAAAACAGTGAAAGAAATATCAACACATTATAGTTTTTTGAAATCGATTAATAATAAATATACAGGGCGTTACATTTAAAAATATACAAGTTATATCTGCCACATCTTTGGCGTGCACCTTCTATACATATTATTATATTCGTAAACTCCCATTTACTTTGTATTTACTTAATTTTTTTTACCTTGCCTCATAAGCGATCTATGCTGTCAAAATATAAGTACCTTCCTAACAAGAATCCGTCATAAATGGACATTTTGTTTTTTCGCTAAATAGTTATAAACCATAGAGAATCTGCTCTATGAGGGACAGGATTCATATAGAGTCAGTTTTTTTTACGATAAATAAACTGCAGAAACGGGTTAACCTTCTTTTTTCAGTTACCAGTTGTGGAACTTCTTGATACGTAGGTACTTCTTTTTCTACATCAATCTTGGGAAGTATTTCTGAGCTTATTTAGGCAACTTGCAGTAAGATTCCATTCGGGATAACTTCAAAATTTATCAATATATAATTCATTTTATCCCTTACGTTGTTGGTAATAAAACACAAAATTACAAAACGAAAAAAAAAAAAACATTACCTGTCTCAATCATCTTTGTATGTAGGATTCTGGTTCAATTAATTTAAGACGAGATTCTAACCTTCGACCTTTAAGTAAACTAGGATTTTAGTAATTTATTTGGTCGCTGAATTGAGCCCACGCTTAATCTTGCAAACATTCGTGCTACAGGAAATTAGATTAGAGCCACGCTATTGGAACAAAATTAGGGAGAGCTTAATTAGAATGGAATGAATGAAGTCACTTGTTTGATAGTATTTAGGATCGATTGATATTATTCATCGATTGCCTATTTTGATGTTATTATTGTCAAATATTTTATATCATGTGAGAAAGTCAATAAAATAGAAAAATATCTCAGCGATAAAACACCAATCTTCCATTTCCTTGATATGTCAAAGAGTGCTGGCGACTTTATTGGGTTTGCCAATAAATCTCTTGAATAACAAAGTGATAAAAACCGACAGAAAAGAGGGTAGATGTCGCAACGATTGGATTAATCTCTTTCTAGTTATATCTATTTTATGATGCTCCAGAAAAAAATTGACATTATACGCTATCCTCTTATCAGCGTTCACCCTATTAGCATTTTTTTTATTTTATTAAAGTTTTTTGGAGAGAAAATGTATAAAACACGATACTTGGTTAATTAGCATAAAAGACACAATTTCCATGGTTTTCCTTTAGGTTTTTCTCTTGCTTTGGCTATTTCCTTGTTAATGTAGCAATTTGCAAGTTATATTTTTGCTTGTTCCCTTATACCTATATCACCTAGTTATCCTAAATTATGTCTCTAACTGGGTCATTTCTTGGAGATTTTTTTGAGTTTTATAGGTTCAATCAGTTACCAGTGGAATGCCATACAAATATATTCAGCCGTTAACTAACCTTTACCGATTTGCTATTGCAACAAACCTGTAGTGAAAAGTTTTTACAATAGCTGTCGAAATAGTATTCAATGTAGTTCTATCAATATCCAAAAGAGCAAAAGCAGTTGCAACATTTTCAACTTTCTTATTGATGATTTTCACTATATTCCACAAATCAATAAATAAGAAAGCAAAATACATTATTCTCAATGACCTATAATTACAAAGTTATGTACAATGACGTCATAATGCACTTATAATATAACAAAAACCGTTTTAAGTTAGTATGTCATTTACCTAGTATCGTCCTACCTTGACTCGAAAATCGACCGTTAAAAATAAAACAAAAGTTAATGGACTCTTTAATAATAATAATGATGATGATGATTTCCATTCCTAGACAATAAAGCAAGAAGTCAAGTCACTTTTATTACGTGGTTTGGTGGTACCCCCTCTTTGGTCCGTTTTCTACTCGCTTTTATTTCTACCTTCGCGTACCATCGCGAGCCGCGTTAGTACCAGTGTAACGTGTTTCAAAAAAACCACCTGTGGACTTTTTAAACCGTCCAAAATTTTTAGTGATAATTTAGCTTAAAATTGTGCAAAATAAGCTAGCTTTGTGCTTGATACAATAATTGTTCACCTTAGCATTCAGATTATGCAAAATAGTGCTTACTTGTTACTATTTGGATTGAATTTCATTGAAGGTAAACATAGTGTAAAATATCATAATAATGTATTGTTTAATGAGTAAATTTAAAATAATGTACTTAATAATAATAATAATAGATAGGTGAATCATTTGTTTGGACGGCGGTATTCTGCCAGCCACACCTGGGTTTTAAAGAGAGGTGAATGTTGGTTGATGGGCGTCTAGCGATATGGCAACATTGTTAATAAAGCTGGATTAATGGTTTAAAGTACAGCTAATATAATATAAATTAGTTGCTTATAGGTGCCCAACTTCTCCCAATACAAGATTTTTCTAGCTGCTTGGTTTGTTTGTTCATTACGATATTATCCAGAAAAAAATATTGGAATCAACCGTAGATGGGGTTTCGATTTTGAAGTAGGGCATCATCAATAATACTACAAGTTATTGTTCCTTTGATAGTGAATGTTGTTAGCAAAATACTGTTTGAAGTAACAGTAATGAGCTAATAGCCTACCTAGGTACTTCACACGCATATTTCCTTCGGATAATAATTCTGGATTTGGTTACAAATCGATCTACAATCAAAATACATGTTTCGGGCTACAAACTCAACCAAACAGGCCGACTTTCATAAGACCGCAATATGAAAGGAAATAAAAGAAACTTTTTCGCACGGTGACCCAATTTCAGGCGTTTTTTACTTGATTATAAATAGCTGTAATTAGGAGCACTTCAGTGCTTCTACATCTGTATATCTGCTCACCTTCTCTGCCTTTAGAAAACAAGCAAACAAAATCAGATAATTTATTTGCTGGCTATAAAATCTGGATACTTCCATAAATCTGCTTAAAAGAATTCTGGTAAACAACCTGGAAAAAGATGATAAATTGCTGTTAGGAAACATACTTTTTAAATTTTTTTGAAACTTTTTGTTGAATCCAAGGAATTTCCTTTTCAGGCGCAAATGTTTTGCTTACCAGGCACTTTTCCCTTTATTTGTCAGTTTAATTTTCGCAATTCAACCATTTTATTGATGAATCACTTTTATTTATTAGGAAGCTCAGTGGGTCAAGTTAAGCGCGAATAATTGGGCCAGTTAGTGTTTGTTGATTTGACCTGAAGTGTGGGCAGATGGGTTAAGCTTATAGAAGTTTTCATCAAGAAATATTTGGTCGCGTTGATATTGTTCTTTTTAATGTCCTTTCTTTGTTTTGCTTTTTCCAAATCAAGGCTAACTAGTGATAATTCAATATTCAATACCAATTTATTCGGTACAACCGTGCAATTTTGCATATCATAAATTTCTCCAATATTGAATTCAAATTACCATTTCATTGTTTTCTCGCAGACGATTATACACATCAATTTAGTAATCGTTAAATCAGCTTAATGATCTGTGAATAGGTAACATAGGAACGGTGTACTTGTACGAATGAGGTTTAAACAATTTTGATGTCTCATTGAGCGGAAATCCTACCATCACCGAAAAAAAAACGGAATTAGAGATCAGTAACTTTTGACCTACTAAACTCTTAAAAATATATCAGGTAGGTAAATTATATATTCAGTTATGGAAGTTTTTGTAGTGTTACTTCTTATTTAAATTTATAAATTACTAGTATTGTTTACCAATACATGTGGTAAAAACTGAAGATATGTAACGATTTCGTTATCATTTATCGGTTTCATGTTTCAAGGATGCCTTGAATTGAAGTATCTATAATACGCGTCCTTCCCGTAAAGTCTCCTTGGAAATAAAATGTGTGAGAAAGAATTTATTGTGGAGGTTTTATTTATCCATTTTCATATGTATCTCTTTCCAAATGGCCCAAATGTATTCGTTCGTCATCTAAAACCATCTATCAAGCTCTTCTTGTATGACATTCGAAAAAGCAAAAGGTTATTCAGAAAGCATTTGCCATTAATCAAAATACTTATCTATTATAATGCATTTCACCCTCAATAAATCCTAATGTCTAAAAAACACTTGTAATAAAGCTTTTATCTTAATACCACAAAACAAAGGTACGTGTAAGTACTATTACCTACCTATTACCATTATCTCATTCCTGATGTCGTTTAGTAAAAGAAAACAAAAATCATTAGCATTATTGTACCTTCTAAATTTTTTCACACTGTGCTGTTGTATTTCGACATCATAAATCTTCACTATCGATATCTCAACCAGTAGCCTAATGACCGCAAAGGGTGGCAAATCGGTGTTAAATTTCGGAAATATCGAAAAATCCACACCCCCTAAGGTTTTTGACTTTTAAAACAGAATTATGATTGTCTTTGTTGGCCGCTCGAGTCAATGGTTACCTACTCTGAGAGAACCTGTTGAAATTTCTACCTGCCTTACGTTGATGGGTATCAAAATTCTGTAAATACAATATGTGATATAAATTCAAAATATTTTCTTGTTCTCAGGTCCAAGACCGTCTAGAAGTAAAACCGCCCACTCTATCGCCGCCCGAAACTTTAGCTAGCTTAAATATCCACAAGGATATTTATATTAGATGCAATCGGTCTTGGAATAGGGACGCTAGAGAGTTAGCTGAAATTATTAATAAACCACATTTTAGGTAATACACCGATAGTTAATAAACACGATTGTTTCAAATTAAAATTTTAGAGCCCTTCTAGATAGTCACGACCAAGTGGCCGATATCACCGAAAATCCCAATCCCAACAGAAAAAAAGAACCACCGAAATTATTCCCTAACGGAATGACAAACGACGCTATAAGAATGGTCGGAGTTAGAAAAAAGAATGGAGAACCTTTAGGACTTACAGTGAGTATTTCTCCTTCGATACATACGCCCCTGCATTTTACCTTTTTTTATAATCTACCTAAATTAATCTATAGTAACTTCACGCTAGGATGACGCAAGGGCAGCAGGTAGAATTTTATAGCCCTTTTGAAAAGGAAGTCAAGTCAGGTGTTTATAAGGGTTCTTTGTTTGGGTTTCATACTGGTAGGGTGCCATATGAATAATATTATCTTTATTAAAGGTACAAATAGACGACAATGAAAACCTGGTGATAGCCAGAATAATGGAAGGTGGCATGATCGAAAAGCAGGGACTTTTGCATGTCGGAGATGTTATTTTGGAAGTTAATGGTAATCAAGTCAAGACTCCAGAAGATCTTCAAGTGGAAGTGGCCAAGAGTAAAGATTCGGTGGCTCTTAAGGTTGGAAACGCCAATCAATATAATGAAACTCACGCGTCGATTATGACTAATGGGAGTAATGTGGCGAATGGAGTTACAAAAAAATTGACGGTAAATGAAATCTACTTAGATAATTTTGCCTGAGATCCCAATTTTGGAAATCCATAATGAATATAGTGTCTGAATCACTTTTCTGTAAATGAAACAATCTCATTTTTACAAGATCCAGGGAATTTTATCTAGTTCCTTCAAACAGCAACATTCCTGGATAAACATTCTTAAGTTGATTTATGAGTTCTAGATTCATGAAAAATTTTAGAGGACTTTTCTGGTTTTCAGCATTAACGTCGAAAAACATTCTTTTCAGATAAACTTCCGGTTTATTTTTCCTTGTAAAATGATCTTTATTTTATAATTCCTGCAAGTTTGAAGGAAATTTCTTCATTTATTAGCGTGAAAATAAAATATTCAGTTGATTTTTGAGCTCTAGATTCACTCCCAACTTATTTTGCCTTATATCTACAATGTGTCCAAGATAAGAAGGGCCAGTATGGGGATCTCGGAAACAGTAAAAGATACGATGTGGCTCAAATTAGGAAAAAGTTGCGCAATTTTGTGCTCATTAAAATACTGCTCTGATATTTCAAAAATTCAAGGTGATACCAGAGATATCCGGGAAAACCCGAAATTCACCCAAAACGATTTTATTTTTTCCTGACCTTATTTGAAGAGATATTTCAAAATAAATGGCACTTCATGCGTACCACTTTTCCTCCTCTACAATATGGCATTATCAAATTTGTAATCCGACGTTTCATCCTTGGGCCATATCATCAGATCCTCATACTGGCCCTCCTTATCTTGATGGACACATTGTATATGAAATTCTCTAGTTTATGAATCCTGCAATTTTAAAGACAAGTATTTTTGTCCAGTTTTCTTTGAGCTTCAGAGTGAGGAAAACAAACATTGTTTTTGAGCTCAAGTTCCATTTTCAAGTCTATTTAACCAACCCTATGGAAGAGTACCAGTATTGCCAGGTCTACTGATTTATCAGTAGATCTACTGATTTGGCCACTGGTCTACTGATATACTGATATCAATGTTAGTTTTAATTCTACTGATAAAAGCCATTACCATTATTTACCTGCGTTCGTGCGTGTTTGTGTTGTGTCTTGTTGTCTTATTTATTTGCCTTTTGCCTTGCCAGTTGCCTAAAGGCATGCGTTGTTGTTGGTTAGTCTTAGTTAATAAGTCACATAGCGTTATGCCGTAAAACTAACTGCAGCTTGTTTTACCTGTTTTTATAAGACTAAACTACTGCATAGGTACTACCATTTGAAAAAAGCTGAATGCATGCAACATTTCACATTTCTGACATTCAATTTTTGTTTCTGACTATGGATTCTAAAAATTTAGCCAATACTGTACAACTTTGGTATTTATACCTTTGATCTACTTGCAAAGGTGAAGGCTGTAGGTGGGGTGTCAATATATAAAAAACAATCTGTACTTGAATAATAACTTATTATATAAAGTCAGAATTTGTAAGATTATCCACTTTTTGTCATTTCGCCTTTCAACAGGAATTAGTAATGTTACAGCGAGTTCCGCAGCCATCTATTCATCAATATGTTGTTCAATTACGATATTAACCTGACTCACTCAAATGTGAGTTATTCTCATTATAGTTTAAAAACTACATGTTTCAGGTGAATGTCTTACTTGAACAGTTCAACAGTATATTAGTGAGTAAATGGCTGCGGAACTCGCTGCGCTCGTCTCGCAGAGGTCCACCCATAAGTTCCGCAATAATCCACTTATTTGTACTTGAACAATAACTTATTATATGTATAAACTCAAAATTTGTAAGATTATGATTATTCACTTTTTGTCAATTCACCTTTCAACAGAAATTAGTAATGTTACTTTATCAAACTAGTAATATATTGTGACAAGTTATTCAAGTACAAATGAGTGAATTGTTGCGGAACTTATGGGTGGACCTCTGCGGGACGAGCGCAGCGAGTTCCGCAGCCATGTATTCATCAATCTGTTGTTTAATTACGATATTAACCTGACTCACTCAAATATGAGTTATTCTCATTAGTTTAAAAACAAACTACATGTTTCAGGTGAATGTCTTACTTGAACATTTCAATAGTATATTGATAAATAGATGGCTGCGGAACTCGCTGCGCTCGTCCCGCAGAGGTCCACCCATAAGTTCCGCAATAATCCACTTATTTGTACTTGAACAATAACTTATTATATGTATAAACTCAAAATTTGTAAGATTATGATTATTCACTTTTTGTCAATTCGCCTTTCAACAGAAATTAGTAATGTTACTTTATCAAACTAGTAATATATTGTGACAAGTTATTCAAGTACAAATGAGTGAATTGTTGCGGAACTTATGGGTGGACCTCTGCGGGACGAGCGCAGCGAGTTCCGCAGCCATCTATTCATCAATCTGTTATTTAATTACGATATTAACCTGACTCACTCAAATATGAGCCTTTCAACAGAAATTAGTAATGTCACTTTACCAAACTAGTAATATATTCTGTCAAGTTATTCAAGTACAAATGAGTGAATTGTTGCGGAACTTCAGCGAGTTCCGCAGCCATCTATTCATCAATATGTTGTTTAATTACGATACTAACCTGACTCACTCAAATGTGAGTTATTCTCATTAGTTTAAAAACTACATGTTCCAGGTGAATGTCTTATTTGAACAATTCAACACTATATTGGTGAGTAGATGGCTGCGGAACTCGCTGCGCTCGTCCCGCAGAGGTTCACCCATAAATTCCGCAATAATCAACTTATTCGTACATGGTGTTTATTTATATATTGACACTCCACCTACCTCCTTTTACAAGTAGAAAAAAGGTGTAAATACAAAAGTTGTACAGTTTTTGGTGAATTTTTAGAAATCATGATCAGAAACAAAATTTGAATGTCAGAAATGTGAAATTTTGCATACTTCCGGCTTTTTCCAAATGAGATGCCCTATATTTCATTCTATATTCTTGAAGAGCACAATGCAAAAATATATACTTTGTCTATATTTGATTGAACAGTCTTTCATATATTCGGCTCCAAAAATTGTAAAAATACTATCCTACTATACTGATTTTGTGAACTATTCTACCTGTACAGGTGAAAGCTGCAGGTAAAATTTGAGGTAGGTACTTGGTTTCTCTGATAGTATTTTTAAAATTTTTAGAACCAAATATGTTGGAGCCGGCTCAACGGAATAAAGAGAAACTATATAGTTTTGGAATCGGGAAATTGTACTCTTCAAGAATATATAACCAAATAATAGGGCATCCCATACGTAGTGCATATTTAATAGGAATATCTCATGTGTCTCAATCTTAAACTATTTCTCATAAGTAGTATTGGTGTTTAATTTTCTAATGCCAGTTTTCATAGTCTAATACACAGTCTTATGATTTAATGATTTGAAAAGACGTACCTAGTTAAAACAATTAATTGAGTATACCCTAATGGTTTACCCCTTTTAACAAGGCAACTTATCTGTCTACTGATTTCTACTGATATTTTGACTGGTAATCTACTGACAAAACAAAATATGACCTGGCAATACTGAAGAGTAGGTACCTACCTATCCTTTTTATAAGTCCTGCAAGTGTTAGGAAACTGTTAACGTTAGAAATAGTTTTCAAAAATGATTCGAGATTTTTTCAAATTTTCCAAGCTTCAAAAAAAAAATTGCAACTTTGTTTCCAAGCATTCTAGATCCGCTCTTCCGGTTTATTTTTCTCTCTAACAGACTATTTTATATATCCTTTAAGTTTAATGTCTCTGTGATGGGTAGAAGTCTTTTCCAGATGCGCTTTCAGGGGTTTCATGTTTTCTCAAACATCAACTTGGAAAAAAATTCCTAACTTGATGCTAGAGCTTAGATACAATTTTGCTTTATTTTGCCTCATACGATTTTATAAATCCTGCAAGCTTAACCTTCCGGAGCTCGCGCTAATTATTTCGGAGAGGACGCTCGCACGCGGACTCAGAATCCGCAGCCATCAAATGTGCTTTTTAATTACTATTTCTAAAAATTGTTGACAATAAATATTAATTGTTATTTATTTTACGTTCTTATTCATCGAATACACTGATTTTGACATCTTAGCAGAACCCTTTGCTAGAAAAAATGAAATATATTGATTATTTGGCAACAACATTCAACAATACAAATAGAGATTCTAAATAGAAATAGAACTTTGTCTCATCGTGAGTGGCATTTATGACAAATAACAAGTGGATACTCCTCGGAATGCTCCAAACGAACACATTTGTGGCATTCAATGCAAAAAAAATGGGCCCACATTGGCTATTATTTGGCAAAAAACGCACACACCCAAAGCACAAATGAGTACTGACTCTAGGAGTACTCGGAATAGAAAGATACTCAAGATTGCAGCGCCGTGGTTTGTCGATTTTTGAAATAAACGACAAAGTTAGATAGTTGCGGAGTGAGAGACCGCGCGCGATCTCTGGAAGGTTAAGTTCACTGTGATGACTGAAACTATTTCTCAGAGGCAATCTTTGATGTATCTGGTTGAGAACTAAAATATAGTGAACATTGGTGGCAGGTCTAACGTTTTAATTGAATTTGTCTAAAATTGCCACACAATTACTTAATACTTACCACAGTATATGCTCTACAGTAGGTACAATAGTTTATTTTTTAGTGTTACATGCGTGCCCTTTTTGAATACATCCCCGAAGACGACTCTCTACTACCATGCAAAGAAATTGGCTTACCTTTTGACAGAGGCGACATTCTGCAGATTGTAGATCAAAGAGATCCGAATTGGTGGCAAGCCAAAAAAGTCGGAGCAGACAATAGGACTGGCCTAATTCCCTCTTTGGAACTCGAAGAAAGACGGAAGGCCTATGTATCTCCTGAAAACGATTTTGTACATAAGATTAGTATATGTGGTGCAAGAATATCCAGGAAAAAGAAGAAAATTATTTATCAGTCAAAGAGCAATTGCGATTTTGATAAGGCGGAATTATTGTTGTACGAGGAAGTCACTAGGATGCCACCTTTCAAACGGAAAACTTTAGTTTTGATTGGTACCCAAGGTGTTGGAAGAAGGACTTTGAAAAATAGACTGATTAATAGCGATCCAGAAAAGTTTGCTGGAGTCATTCCATGTAAGAATTAGATTTTAACTATTACATAATAGAAATTGAAATTTTGAATTTTAGATACAACCAGGCCACAGAGAGTTCTGGAAGAAAATGGCCAAACTTATTGGTTCAACGATAGGGAACAAATGGAAGAGGATATTAGGAATAATAAATTTTTGGAATATGGAGAATATAATGGGCATTTGTATGGGACTCATTTGGATTCAATTAGAGATGTTATTAAACAAGTAAGAAACCAATAGGCTTCATTGATTCAGCCAATGAAAGTTTAAATTTATTTGATGACTTATTTAAGTTTATCAGAAAAATATCAAAAATAAGTGTGTGTTAATCATTGGGATGCATCTCCGTCAGGTCTATAAACCTAGCCAGTCCCAAGGTGGAAAAAAACTTCGGGAACTATATAATAATTAGGTGCTTTTTAGGTGCTAATTAAGGCCTCTAATTAAAAATTAGGTGCTCCTTTAGTTTTTGAGAAAATCAAAAAAAAAACTGAGGAACTGCTAGGTTAATAAAAGTTAGCAGTCCCCTATAATAATTTTTTTTTTTTCAAAATTCTCTTTTGTATCAGAATTAGGTGCTTTTTAGGTGCTCCTAAATAGTCGAAGAATAAATAGAATTAATTAATTATTAACTCAGTTACAGATTTTTTTTTAATTATTAGGGGACTGCTGGCTTTATGTTTACATGTTGGTGTGTCAGAATGGCAAAAAAACTTCGGGATCTATATAATATAATTAGGTGCAAATTAGGGCCTCTAATCAAAAACTAGGTGCTTTTTTAGTTTTTGAGAAAATCAAAAAAAACTAAGGCATTGCTAGGTTTATGAAAGCTAGTAGTCCCCTATAGTGAAAAATATTTTTCCAAAATTTTCTTTTGTATCAAAATTAGGTGCTTTTTAGGTGCTCCTAAATAGTCGAAGAAAAAATAGAATTAATTAATTATTAACTGAGTTACAGATTTTTTTTTAATTATTAGGGGACTGCTAGCTTTACGTTTACATGTTGGTGTGTCAGAATGGAAAATAACTTCGGGATCTATATTTAAGTTAGGTGTTTTTTAGGTGCTAATTAGGGCCTCTAATTGAAAATTAGGTGCTCCTTAATTTTTTGAGGAAATCAAGAAAAACTAAGGTTTATGAATGCTAGCAGTCCCCTGTAGTAATTTTTTTTTTTTAAATTTTTTTATGTATTAGAATTAGGTGCTATTTAAGTGCTCCTAAATGGTCGAAGAAAAACTTGAATCAGTTAATTATTAACTGAATTACAGATTTTTTTCATTATTAGGAAATTGTTGGCTTCACTTTCACTTGGTGATGTGTCAGAACAGATAAAAATTTCCGGGGTCTATATAAAAATAAGAATTAGGTGCTTTTTAGGTGCTAATTAGGGCTATTAATTAAAAATTATGTCCTCTTTAGTTTTTGACATAATCAAAAAAAAAAAAAACAAAGGGACTGCTTGGTTAATGGAAACTAGCAGTTCCCTAATAATTAAAAAAAAATCTATAAGTCAGTTAATAAATAATCAATTCTATTTTTTTTTTTTCGACTATCTGGGAGCACCTAAAAAGCACCTAATTCTGATACAAAAGAAAAATTTGAAAAAATATTCTTTATTATATGGACAGCTAACCTTCATAAACCTAACAATCCCTTAGTCTTTTTTGATTTTCTCAAAAACTAGAGGAGTACCTAATTTCTAATTAGAGGCACTAATTAGCACCTTAAAAACACCTAATTATTATATAGATCCCGAAGCTTTTTTTTGTATTCTGATACACCAACATGTAAACGTAAAGCCAGCAGTCCCCTAATAAGTTTAAAAAAATCTGTAACTCAGTTAATAATTAATCAATTCTATTTTTTCTTTGACTATTTAGGAGCACCTAAAAAGCACCTAATTCTGATGCAAAAGAAAATTTTGAAAAAATATTTTTTACTATAGGGGACTGCTAGCTTTTATAAACCTAGCAGTCCCTTAGTTTTTTTTGATTTTCTCAAAAACTAAAGGAGCACCTAATTTTTGGTTAGAGGCCCTAATTAGCACCTAAAAAGCACCTAATTATTATATAGTTCCCGAAGTTTTTCTCCACCTTGGGACTGCTAGGTTTATAGACCTAACTCCGTCTCTTTCAAACCTTTTTAACTCAAACTTCTGTCATATGGCTATAATATGTTTTTTTTTTCTAGGGCAAAATGTGTATACTAGATTGCAGCCCTATGTCACTAAAAATTCTACACAACAGCTCCGAGTTTCTACCGTACGTCATTTTTATTGCCGCCCCTGGAATGGAACAGCTGAAAAGTTTATACGACATTTCTAAAAGCAATTCCAACTTGAGATATTCCAGTAAAAACTTAACAGTGAGTATTTTATGTCTTTAGGGTTTTTCGAACTTTTTAAAGCAATTATTTTGAAAATATAAAAAATTAATTGGAAATTATAGTAGATAAATTTATGGTTGCTTGCTGAAGCTAAAAATATCTTAGTTTCAAAGTATTTGACTCTTGACGTATGTTGTATAAGAATTTCCTCCCCATAGTTATTTTTTTTCTAGATTATGATGCTATTTTGTTAAAATTATTATAAACTTTCTGCATGTATGTTGATATAAGTTATGTGTGGTTAATTTAAGTAGAACATTTTTTTTTTAATTTTTTTTGTAAATTTCTTATTTATTTTTTAATTGTTGCATGATAGTTTGACCGGCAAAGTTCAATACGCTATAGTTCTAGAAGAGCGAGAACCTTGGAATCTTTAGCTTCATTATATGAGGTAAGTTTTTAAATTTTCTAGTTGCAAAATATTTTAAAAAATACTTAATTACGATTATGTTTTTTTAGGAAGAAGATCTAAAACGAACTCTTGAGGATAGCGCCAGCATGCAACGAACTTACGACAAATACATCGATCAAGTCATTACAAACAATGACTTCGACATGACATTCAGAGAAATTATTGAAGCTTTAGAAGCTCTGACTACTGAACATCAATGGGTTCCTGTAAACTGGATTTATTAAGATATAATTTGCATGCAAGGCTGCAATCATTGCACTGCCATAATATTTTGGATGTTAGATAAATGATGATGGTTTTTTTTATAATTTTAATTCAATATTTGATCTTCAATACACATAAGCAGGTCAATATTTAAGTATTTCCCAGTATTGTACTTATAATGTGTAAAGTTGTATAGAAGCTATATAAGTAAGTTTTATCATAAGTTATACAATAACACGCCTATACAAAATGCCTAATGCAGCTTGAGTATTTCTTAGCTATTTCAAGTTAAATTTTGTTTTAAGAGATAAATATTTATACACAATGATTGGTATAATAAAATCATCAGCTCAAATACAATGGTACAAAATAGCAACATCGACCTTAACTATTATATCACCTACACATTATAAATCCAGCTACTTCATTGAGCAGGCCTTATTTTTTGAATAGTAATAGTTATTGTAGGAAAGTGTATAGATTTTTATTGTTTTGAGTATGTCAGAAAATATAAGGTAATCTTATCGATCATACTGTAGTTAGTGTAGTTATGCATAAAATGTGATTTATTGAAAAATAATCTTTATTCTATTTAGATATGATGCACTGAAATGCATGTAAAAACTTGTATGTATTTATTTTAAAAAGAAAATGCTTCAAGCATTAAAGATGCTGAGTTGACCGTACTAATTTTATTAGATAGATATTGATATTATTCTGATAATTATTATTATTATAGGTTTTTGAACGTATTTAGAGGAAGTAAAACAAAAATAAAAGTAGTTGCTTTTAGTGTTAAGTTATTACCTACCTTAAACATAATTAAAATTAAGTATAATAAGGAGATTAATTTGAACCGTCCACTATAAAAACATCACATTGTTTTTCTTTTATCAGAATTATAAGTATATAAGTGTTTTACTGTTTTTTGTTTTATTTTTATTGCTTTATGTGGAAATATATCAACTTTAGAAAATATATAAGTATTACTTTTATAATTTTATTTTGCATTTCTGAGTAGAAGTCAGGTCAGAACAAACAGAAAAAAACTGTTCTTTATATACTTCAACTTAGAACATTTTACATTTGTAAAAACTTATTTTTTTTACATTAATTTCTTTTACATTCAGTTCACATGGTTGTCGCATCAGAGTGCCAAATCTGTCAAGATAATTGGTGGAACACTTCTCAAGAAATTGAGGTCTTTAGCGTCGATACTTCAGCCATTGAGATTTCTCAAAGCAATAAGTTGCTTTGCAAAGAGAAAACAAGACTGGAAGCCAATCCTTCGATATTCTTGTATAATATGAGCTTTTGATTCGAATACGAATGACAGCAATAGTGCGAAGTGAATAGGAAGCATTCGAAATCATATCAAATTTCGTACCTATGCGAGACGGTCGATAAGAACTCGCTGTTCAGTGGCCAGAGGAATAAATAGCAATCAATGACAAATAGCTGGAGACTTAACAATATGACAACGTAGTAGGTATATAAGAAGTTGATATTTAACACTAGCTATTGAATACTTAAGCCTTTGCCAGAGGGTAGCTTATACAAACTTTGCTTACCTATACCTTTAGCATCTATTTGGTGACAATTTTCAAGGTAAAAATTCGATCTTGGATATACTGCCAGGTTGGTAGTTGTGGAACGACCTCTGAATAACTCCATATTATTGATCCTCAGATTGATTTGGGGCCTGGATCATGGAAAACGCCAAGAGTGTTGCGACACTCCTATAATCAAATAATATTTGTGCTGTTTCCTAACAATGTGAATAAAGAAAATGTTGGACTTTTTTTGGACTAAAAGAAAAACGTCCCTGTCAAACGATCTCTAGAAAAAAAACACGAATAGATCTTGCACGATCCGCATTGTCTTAAAAACAGAAGTGGATCTCCATCCGAACCATAGCACTCCTGAGTTGTAATTATAGTGACAACAATTTCAGGTATTTTTGGTATTTATTTTCTATCATCACTAGGACATGCCCATCAACTGCTGCTATAAAAAGAAGTAAATTACCTATCCAAAGCTTGTTTCGACTCGAGTTAGATTAAGTGTATTTTTTTTTAACTTCCCAAGCAGTGACTGAACAGTTTTTTAATGGGTAGGTATCTATACCTCTCTATATAGATGATTATACCTAGATCAAATAAAAAGAATAAGTCAATAAGATTTTCTTCAAACCCCATTTCTATAATTTAAAACCAAAAATAAAATGGAAAAGTCGAAGCAACCTATAAGGCTAATTGGAAAATTTGCCCCACAGCAGACTTCGGCTTACCCAAGGTAACTGGTTTGATGGTACCTATATGAACTTAACTTTGGTAACAGAGTAGTGGTAGAATGTTGCTCAACTATATAGGATTTGTGTGTTGCCTATAGCAATTCACAATAATTAGTAGACGTATAGGTACGCAAAAATATTAATTTGAATTTTGGTAAATGTTGGCAGCTTTGCATTCAAACAAAATTGTCATCTTACTAATGTAATCAAGCATCACCTTTAAATTTTAAGGTAAGTTGAGAATGTTGGATATGATCATGCAGTGGCTGCGTCTATTATTATTTCTGACTATTTCACTAAAATGTTTTTTTTTTTTAAGATAGAAGTCAAAATGACAATATGTTGGCAAGACAATGTAAAATTGTCAATGCTTTCAAATTTTTTATGTAGAAAAGGCTTGTGTTGCCAACATATAGTTACTAAATTTTTGACTTGGGGAATTATCTTTAAAAAAAAAAACAGACTTTAGAGTGTTTTACCACAGCATATACAAAAACAATCAGCAGGCTAACTCTCACGCGCATCTTTTCTGCGCACGCCGCCATTAGGGGATTCCATTTTGTCAAAACGCTGTCATTAAACGGCAGGAGCGCCGAAATTTTATTTTATTTTTGACGGAGGTCATAGGCGTGCGGTGTAGAGCGGAATTTTAGCTATGATTTTCAAAACGATTTTGATATATTCGTGTTGTCATTTATCGTGTTATCTGTTATCATTCTTGTATATTCAATAATAATAATAAATTAGTAATTATAAACATTTTTATATGTAAGTAATAATAAATTAGTTTATTTAAAGCCAATACGACTCTGTCACAGGAAAGAAAAAACCTAAATTATCGTTAATCAGGCCCTGTTTCGTATCCCAAAATGGCCGCTAGTGACATTTTGACGATGAATTCCTTTATTACACGGGCTGTCACTCAAGTTAGCCTGCTGATTGTTTTTGTATATGCTGTGGTTTTACATTGGCAAAATGTCATAGGAACGGCCGGTTTCCTACTGACAAAACTCCTACTTGTCCCTACCTGGACAAAACCAACATGATGGTTTTTCAGCGACAACATTTTGTGTGGTTAATGAAAAAAACTATTGAGTTTGACAAGTGTCACCTAAAGAAAATAAATTTTCCAAATGAAAATTTGGCTTGTTTTTCTCGTGAAATAGTCTAGCCGAATAGGGTTGCCAGATTGGAATATCTACAAATCGGGTATACCAATCAAAAATCTGTTAAAAAATCGGGACTTTCAATAAAAATCGGGACACTTTTTTTTTTGAAGGAATACCTAATTTAATATAAAGGAAATAAAATGTAACTGAACAATAAAACTTCCAACACAATTTAAAAATAAAAAATAACGCAAAATAATAATGGTACATTATTCAACTAGGGACTAAAGTGGTACCTACTTTTAATCCCGAGACAAAATTTGTCGAGAGATCAAAAAAACACTTTAGTCCTGAAGCTTATACACTATTTTATGTACTTAGAGGGATTCAAAGTACCCTTTTATTCCCTGTTTCATTTAATCCTCGGGAAATAAAGTAAAAATTTTATTCCTTGGGAAATTGCCAACGAAAAACAATGCTTTTTTGGACAATAAAGCTTATTTTGATTTGATTTGATATAAAGGAAAATTTAATCCCGGGGATTGAAAGATCCACTTCATCCCCTTAAAACAGGGATTAAAGAGGTATTTTTATCCCTAAAATGCATAAAATGCATTAGTTTATTCTTATCGTAGAAACCAAAAGAATCTTGATAATTATTAGGAATACTAGTAATAGATAGGTAATTAACAAGTACAATTCAAAAATAAGTGTCTTATAAAGTTATAAGTAGGCACTTTTAATTTTTTCCAACTTTTTAAAAAATTCCCTGAAATCGGGACATTTAGCGTCCCGACGAGTCCATCGGGACACGGGATAAAATCTCCAATATCGGGACAGTCCCGTTAAAATCGGGACGTCTGGCAACCCTAGCCGAATACCACTCAAGAAAAATAAATTATGTAGGCAAAATTATTCTCTTGGTTTTATTCAAGTTTGTTGCTTTTTGGTATTTTCGCTCATCAATCTCGGACGCGCCAATTTTTGATTTTATATGGCTGTTTTTTTGATGATAATACCATGTACCTATACAGGGTGACTCAAAAGCAAGTTATGACAGCTAACTTTATATTTTTAAATTAAAACACCAATTTTTTATTTCATTTTCAAATTCTACATTAAATTCTGACCCTATTTCATGTATTATGTGTCCTATACCTATCTTCAACAGTTTCGGAAATATTGATAGTTGAAAATTGACTTTTTTGCAACTTCGACAAGCTATAACCTAAACGGTTAATTTTGGAGCAATACCGATCATACATTCTTGTCTTATTTTTCCATTAACTATCTTTTGACAGTAACTTTGATTTTAACCGGAGATTAAATTTAGCAGGAATTTTTAACCATGGATTAAATTCAAAGTTGGTGTCAAATGATAGTCTATGGAAAACTAAGGCAAGAATGTGTGAACGGCTTTGCTCTAAAAATAACCGTATAGGTTTTACAGCCTGTCAAAGTTGCAAAAAAGTCAATTATCAACTGTCAATATTTCCGAAACAGTTGAAGATAGGTATAGGACATGATGCGTGAAATATGTTCAGAATTTTACGTAGAATTTAAAAATGAAATAAAAAATTGGTGTTTTCATTTAAAAAAATAAAGTTAGGTGTCATAACTTGTTTTTGGGCCACCCTGTATATATGGTATTATCATCAAAAAAACGGTCAATAAAATTAAAAATTGAGGTGTCCGAGGTTTTTTGAAAAATATCCACCTGTATATTTTATAGATTTTATTCCAACCTTTACGTACTCACTGTATATTATAATCAAATACATGGATAGTCAGATAATAAACTGCTGCACAATTGAACTTACACATATAGATTTTAAAGCAAAACTGAATTTTATCGCCCGTATATCATATAACTCTATGGTCCTATGAGAAATTTACATCAAGCTTTATCCGCAAAAAACAAGCTATTAAAATCCACAAACCGCGTTAAAAAAACTTTATTCGTGTCGAAAATATGGAATTTTGAATCTGGCCTAAAAATCTGTATATTATGTGAAAGTTCGAGTGTCCAGCAGTTTATACAGGGTGTTCCGAAATTAATGCACCAAATTTTTATGGCATATGCTACGTCGAAAATAGGCCCTAGTTTCCTTTATAAACATATGTCTGGAAACGCTTCCTTTCCGAGATACAGGGTGTTGAAATTCTAAGAAAAAATCTATTTTTCTATCATAATTTTCAAACCACTCTAGATATTTCATTGAAATTTTGTACACTGCTTTCAACCAGCAAAAGACATTTTTTGATGTGAACTATTTGAAAAAAAAAATCAGTGACGTCACAGAAATAATTTGAGACTTTAGGTGTTTAATGTTTAGCATTTTAATCATAATTTTCACGATTTCGCCATGCCCCAAAATGGTTCTTTATTTTTCATTTGAAAATGGTGCATCTTTCAGGTAAAAGTGTAGAGATCAAATTACTTCCAAATTGAATGGGGATTTCAAAAATGATTTTTATTTTAGAAAAAAGCAGTAGCGCACTATTTTTTTCTTGAAAAATATTCCATAGAAATCTGGCACGGACGTCACTGGTAATTTCTAAAAAAAATAATTTCATATCAAAAAATGTCTTTTGCTGCTTGAAAGCAGTGTACAAAATTTCAATGAAGTATCTAGAGTGGTTTGAAAGTTATGATAGAAAAATAGTTTTATTCTTAGAATTCCAACACCCTGTATCTCGGAAAGGAAGCGTTTCCGGACATATTATGTTTATATAGGAAACTAGAATTTATTTTCGACGTAGAATATGCCATAAAAATTTGGTGCATTAATTTCGGAACACCCTGTATAAGTATGCCAAACTCAAAAACATTGTCTAATTATCTCTTATTATTAAGTAGGTATTTCTACCAGGTGTTTTTATTCGAACCTTAAAAAAAATTCAAAACCAAAAATAAAACGGAAAAACCGAAGTACCCTACAAGGCTAATTAATCTACGGGGAAGATTGGCCTCACAGCAGACTCCGACTTATTTAAAGTAACTGGTTTGATGGTACCTATTTGAACTTAACTTTGGTAACAGAGTAGCGGTAGAATGTTGCTCAAGTATTAGATTGTGTGTTGCCTATAGAGAAGTGTGGCGTTGGAAAGTCTAATTGAAATTAAATAATAATATACGGAACAATCTACGAAAAGGACGTAGGCACAGCTTATGTAGGCACCATATTAAAATATTATTTTGAATTTTGTTAAATGTTGGCACCTTTGCATTCAAACAAAATTGTCTACTAAAATAAAGCGTTTGATTTTGTTCATCTATATACATACAAGCGATGAAAATAAACCAAAATTTTCATACACAACTGCTACTTTGCATTGTTTGCTATACCTATACATATACCTTTTGACTGCTATTTCATAATACCAAACTACTTAGGTAGGTAGTAAAAAATAATCCCTACATTTAAGGATAATTTTTTATTATTTCTCCTGTAAAGTATGGAATACAAAAAATTTACAAAAATATCCATTTAAACATAAAAGATTCACAAAGTTTAAGCTTCATTTGGCAGGAGAAATCAAATTTCATCATCAGAACATTACCTTCACTAAAAGAACAAAAATAATACTTGTAAGTCAAACATCGGACCAGAAAAAAAAAACAAAACAGGGAACATTCCAAATTTCCTTAAAAATAAGCAGACTTATAATGATCCTCGATTAGGAAGATCTTTAACCTTATAAATTCTGACTAGCCAATGCTCTGTGGTATAAGCTTCTTCAAGTACATCAAGTTCAAAGTCTTTATTGCCAATTTCAGCACCTAAAACACATTTTTGAATTAAAAAAAAAAACAACAGCCTAATGTATTTACCTCTAACTCTATCCCACCCAGGTGGCTTTCCGCCTTCCGTATGGACTTTTCCAAACCTATAGTAGCACATTTTGTACATAAGACAATTCAGTAGAGCCGGAGCTCCTTCCTTGTCAACACGAAATTCACCTGAAGGCGAATAATAATCGGATTCATGGATATGTTTGCCCTTCTCCGTGCTCCCACCAATTCGCACCATCCACAAAAACTTATTAATATCGTCCGAAGAATAACCAGTGAGTCCCCCAAAAATAACCAGCACATAATCCACATCTAATTCTCTCATAATTTCCAAAGCTTTCTCCTCTCCGCTAGCCATAGCTTGCCCTACTCGACTAATATGCGTATTATTCCATGTATTATTATCCACTAACACCGTCCTATTGGCCATTGCAGTAATTTGATACCCATAATCCCACCAAGACATAATACGAGCATTTTCCGGAGTGTTCGATTTCAACCAACCGTAGGCCTCTCTGAAATCATCGAAAATTATTCTAGAACCGTCGTGAGCTTTGGCACTCAATACAATAGAAGGAGAACTATAGGCTTCGCTTGTGACCCAAGTGCAATGCATAGTGTAAGCGCTCAAAATGAATATTGACAATAGAGCAAAACTAGCAGATACGACATTTCTGTTTTCGTTGTTTGCTACCGATGCCCTTTGACGTCTTTGAATTGTTGGTAGAGGCGTTAAGAACCTACTTAGAAGTCTACTCAATCCGGCTCCAGATAATGCGCAAGCTGCTGGAGCTAATACTAACATAAGACGGACCTGAAAATGATTTTGTTTTATTAATATGTTGAAGTTGATAATTGAGAACGAATATTTGCAACAAAAGTATTAAACTTTGATTACTAACAGAAAAATCGATTTATCACATAACCCATGTATCAATACTTTTAAAAATTAAAGTCACAGCTGCTACACACCCTCAACGTCATCCACAATAAGCTTTCAACAACATTTTGTTACTGAGTCAGAATCAGAAGCAGTGCTGTTTTTATTCACTGGTACCTTTCAGCAGTCTCAGCTCAATATAATAATAATTCTTGATCTTGAACAACCTTTTTTTTTGTTTGTTGCTACATTGACAACCTTCAATACAATGCTCTATCTAAAAGGAACAAAACCAGCTGCCTAAGCTGGCAAACTTACAATCCAAGTATCATAAAAATTTTGCAAATTTTGTGATGAGGACTTTAAGTCTTCTGTTCTTCATGATTCACCAGGATTCCTCAGAAGTCTGCACAGAAATGCCTTATTGAAGGTATCTGAATTGCAAGGCAACTTCAAAACACTTTGAACCTAGTGAGGTTTTATCCTAAACTTTCATTTGAAACTACACAGGAAAAAAGAGGTTCTTCAAGTAAGTGCTTTTAACGAGATTTATATTCTAAATTGAACACCCGTCTGGTGTTTTCCAAGACAAATTGCTAAGTTATACAATTTTCCTTAAAAGTGGAATTTTGAACCTGAATATAGGTTCTCTCCATTATCTTACAGAGCAAAACCACACCTGTTGTGTGATCTGGCCTTCACCATGAACAATACGAACTCATTGTATTGTATCAGAATTTATGTGCGCCTCCGCCATGGTATCCAGAATACAGGCCAAAATTCCAGAATTGGACTGTTAATTTGAGATTTCACGTTGATGTTCGGGAACAAGGTCGATCGCGGTTATTCTGGAATTCACATCAATAGATTTCCGAATATATAAAGGCCGGTATTAGTTAGAAGTTTTAAGTTTAAGTTTGACTGTGATATGATTTAAATAGTGATTATTGTATAGAGTTATAAAGAGTTTAGTTGTTTCAGTTAATTAGTGAAGTAATTGGTGTCAAGAGTGTACAGTAACGTGGAATTAATTATTTTTGTGCTAATTGGACTTTGATTTTTGAACCCAAGATTAATGTCACGCACTCCAAAGCCTTGACAGTATGAATTGTTTTTCCAAAGCTAATCCCTTTTTGGTTTTATATGACTGCCAAAGTGTTTTAGAGTATTTTATTCTATCTCTAAAACGTTGGCCTTAGGAAAATGTTACTCACTTAACCCTAGGAGATGCACCTACACAAACATACAGATATGGGCCTGAATAGAGCTCAAGCTCTCATATTATCCTGTTGCTGGGGTATTTTATATGAAAGACACAAATTCCATGAACCAGAAATTCAGAGAAAATGATATTATGAAAGTCCTAAATCAAATTGAAACCATCGTACAAGACTCCAAGCTTAGTCAAAATCTTGTTCAGAGGTTTTGAGTTTGTTACACAACACACAAAAAACCAGCTAAAATGCATCTGTGAACATAATATGAAAATAAAGAAACAAGGATCATTTAAGTATTCCCCATCAATAACAAGGCTAAGTAATTAAATGTTATTTATTTTGATGTTGGACTTTGTCTCTGTTCTGCTGTCATTATAAATAGATTTTTTTTTCTTACCATAACTCCTGCGAAATAGACAGCAGTAGCACCATAAAGAGCCAAAAAAAATTTGGCATCAGTCGGATCTTTGAAACACAAATAAAGTCCTGCAGGTAAAAGCATAGCTAACAAATGCAAGTCGAAAAAAAATGACGACCATGCTGTTGGCTGATGTTCAGATACTGATGCTATAATTGGAATGTGATTCTGAAATTGAATTTATTTGAACCTTAAAAAGTATAATTATTCAATAGTTTACCTTTGCATATGAAGGGTCTAATAAAGCATAGAACCTGCCAGTCCATGGTGCAACTTTGCCAGACAAGGACAGCAAAATTAAACCAACAGCCAAAATAGCACCCACTGTACTAAAGGCGAAAGATAGTAATGTATCAAAATCTGTTGAAGATAATTTACTTTTAAGATATTCAACAAATGCTAATATTTGACATAGACCAAAAACTCCTAAAGCCTAAAAAAAATAATATTATAAATATATTGTGAATTTTATTAATCAAAATTCTTACCAGCATATGTTCAGAGCTTTGTACAGGTTGGAAGCCCACAAAAGAAATTTGCATAGACAATATGGTACCCACACAATATAACGTACTATAAGCAACATATATTCTATGAGAAAATCTTCCTGTTATCATAAGAGTTAATACATGAAGGGGTATTAAATTGATTAGAAAAACATAGCCACCCCAGGAAGACACCTTAAAAAAAACATGTTATTCAAACGTGTATCCACATAAATACAAAATCATACCATGTAAAAGTAAGCAAGTGCAGCTAAAGTACCCCATCTTACAGTACCAGTTTTCACAGCTTTAATCCAAGTATAGTATGTTAGCAACATACAAAAAATTGCAATTCCTTCATTATCATAACTACCAGCCACAGATCTACTAATATAACCAGGTACTATTGCCACAAATGCAGCGGCTGTAAGACCGGCACCTTTATCAAAAATCTCTTTTGTAAGTAAATATGTTATTAAAGTGGTGAAAGACGAGAAAAGTGGAGCCAGAAATACGCAAACATTCCTGATGTCTATATCAATATGTAAAAGCTGGCCTAGTCTAAATAGGAACACTGATGTTAGCATTAGACCTGGGTAAATTGTTCCACCAATAATCCTTCCTAGAGGATACCTAAAAAGAAAATATTTTGAATAATTTTCCAATAATATATTTATTTAAATTCACCAAGCTCTATCATCAAACCAGTTATGGAAAGCATAAAATCCATTTTCAGCTAGATATTTGGTGGTTCTGTAGTTGAAGTAGGGATCGAATTCGTGAATAACTGATTCGAAGCGAAGCACAGAAAATAGTCTTGTTGCAAATGCTGAAAGAATAATCCAAATTGAATAAATATAAATAAAACATTGGAAAAATTGGGCGTTTTTGTTTGATTGAATAGTTTCTGTTAGAGTAGGTAGGTATATACATAAGATAACCTGCATCAGTGTAGACGCAAAACAATTCCAAATGAAACTTGTTGTACCCCAGTGTGTACTATTGGTCTTTTTGTCTGAATAATATATCTGTGCTTCAAGCTACCTAGGATGGAATTGTATTGCCATTTGCATCTAATTGGCTTGGGAAAAGTATGTTTAGGAAAGGAAAAAGCTCAGGAAAAAGGGAGTAGCCCAGGGACTCCGTGTCAGGTAGAATTCTACATATCGACAGGATTCTATAGACTCGGTACACTGTGCGGTATGTGATATGTTTCGAAATGTCGAATTCTACATGGCACGGAGCCCCACCACAACAGTGAGGAAGGAGTCTACTGCCCTGACTGGATTATTAGGAAATATTCAAATAAGTGGTAGGTACCTACTTAGTGAATTCACTGGCCTATCTGTTTACACTCAGCAACTAAAGCTTAGCCAGCCTGAAAGGTACCTACCAAAATCTTGTATAAAAATACCTATTAGATTTTAATATTGCAATGACTCTCAGGTACCTAGTAGGGCATGCTTGAGGGCATGTATGTAGTCAATAGAGCTACATATTTCAATATTTTCCATCAATAGTAAGTTAAGTAGCCAAACAACTCTTTTCGCATTCAGGGCATTTTTTGAGTACCTATATTAATGATAACCTTGCAAGTTGAAGATTCAGAGCATTGACCAGATAATTATTATTCATGAGAATAGGTTGGATAGGCATTGATACCAAGATTTGACCAATATTTTTTCAGTTGATTTATAACAAATAGTACCAAAAATTGCTAAATATACATACACAGAATAGCAGCTAAAGCCAATATGGAAATAGTGAGCAAGGTTTCTTTTTTCTTCAAGTCTTGAGTGGAGGTCTGGGCCCCCTTTTTGTCAGAGAACCACATTTTTTACACCTACACAGCTCTTAGGTTAAAAGCGAGATTAAAAACTTGAAAATATCACAAACAACTCTTGTACTGGTTGGTTTCTAGAGGAGCCTCCGTTTGTCGGGGTACTTAATCATCAGATCTTCATATTCCAAGTGTAGAATAACTGTAGTTTTGCTTAAATTTTAGGAAAAAAACATTTTTGTTGTCGACGTATACCAAAAACCACCCAAAAACCGGGACCCGGTATAATAGTCGATTTGACAGTTTCTGAATGGAATGGAAGCTTGAATATTGACAAGTGAGGTATAGGTCTTGCAGTATAGATGGCGCAGGCACCATGAATACACATTACAGAAAACTGTGATTCATTAAAACCCAAATTACAGTGTATTACTTGAAAGAATTTTTGCCTGAACAAAGAATATGAACATGGCAGCCGTCTATTTAGGGCCGGTTTATGAATCAAGGTTTTCGCAGAGTTTGCTGATCCAGATCAACTCTATCTAGATCTAGGATGGCCTATCCTCATAAGGCCTGTGTTCAGTGTGTTCAATGGCCCACCCTATATACCTATTGTATATCGTGTGCTAGAAATTTAAAATTACCAATTTTTCATTGAATATGAAAATTTTGCGACTAAATAAAAGGAAAAGCAAAGTCTGTTTTTTTTTCAAAGATAATTCCCCAAGTCAAAAATTTAGTAACTATGTTGGCAACACAAGCCTTCTCTACATAAAAAATTTGAAAGCATCGACAATTTAACATTGTTTTGCCAACATAATGTCATTTTAACTTTTATTTAAAAAAAAAACAGACTTTAAAAATTCCGCTATTTCCGCTTCTACCCTTTGCGAACGAAAATAGAAAATTTCCTCAAAAAGGCAACAAGGGAATAATTCCGTGAAGCTGGCAACACTGTGGCTGACTCGTTATCAAACGCAAGGATATCAACAAAGAATTTGATAGGTTGGATATAAGCCCCGCCCCTTTCCAATAAAATGCGGGTGATATCAGCCGGGCATTCAGTTGGTTAGTTGAGCCCCGCCCATTTCCGGGGTTTATGTATCGTCAAGGTGTTTGATTGGTTGTTTCCTTTTCAACCCTTTCCAATGGCCCAGGCCCACCTACAGTGACTTGACCTTTTCAAATAGAAATTCGGTACCGCCGCTATATTCTTGCAAATTTTGAATATGAATATAGAAGTTAGCCACGCTCCTGCCGCCATATTATTGCAAATTTTTTGATGTTTACTCAGATAAAAAATACCTATTATTATTAATATTATTTATTATCATAAGCTGGATTTATACAGCAAATAAAATAAAATAAGATAAAATAACAAATAAGAAATAACAGTTAACCTCATGAGATACCCTTAAAGTGTTTATACAGAAAATAACAAATAAAATAAGAAATGCATTAGGTATGTATATATGTTATTTTATCTTATGTTATCTTTATTTTATTTTATTTGCTGTATAAATCCAGCTTAAGTATATTTATTTATTCTTAATTTTTCAATTTTTCCATCTCATATTTTGTCTATTCCCGGATCTTGAATTTTCGTTTACGACGTATGAAATTGAAATTGAACTATTGAACCAATAAAAACATGATAATATCCCTGCGTCATGACGTCATTTTTATTATTAACCTAGGTATTTTTTCATTATTTTCATTATTAACCTAGGGAGAGAAATTCAATTTTTTCCTAGAAAAATAGATTGAATAATGATAATTTCTCAGGCTAGTAGTAAAAAAATAATATTATTGAATGTCTAAATGACGTTTAAACTTACCTACATATAATCTAAAACTACCTATGGTTTTCAAAGAATCAGGAAGGCGGTTATCGCGCCCCGAAGTAGGCGACATCTATGATCAACTTTGGTACTCAAAACTCAGTGAACAACAAAGCAAGTTTGCATTAGGCCCCCGGCATTGTTTCTGGAAGACACTGGAAGTGTTCAATTTTCTACAGAATATTATTCATTTTATGTATTTTTTCTGTTATACAGGGTGTCCCACGGTGGATGGCGTATTAGACGTTTATGGAGAACTAAAAAGCGAATCATTTTGAAAATTTGGCAACCGGGATAAACGACCATGATCTACACTTTAAAAATATTTTTGACCATGTGGTGTTGCCGCTTCTACTCTAAACTAGTGGCAACATCACTATTTTAAATGGAACACACGTACATTTAATTGCATATTTGGATTCTACGTAAAATTCTGAGCAGATTTCATGTGATATACCCTATACCTAAGTTCAACTGTTTTGGAAATATTGACAGTTGAAAATTTACTTTTTGCAACTTTGACAGGCTGTAAAACCTAATTGGTTAATTTTAGAGGAAAACCGATTTCACATTCCTATCTTAGATTTTGATAAACTATCATTTGGAACTTAACCAGAGATTAAATTTAACTGAAATTTTTAATCATGGATTTAATTCTAAGTTGGTGTCAAATGATAGTTTATAAAAATCTAAGATAGGAATGTAAAATCGGTTTTCCTCTAAAATTAACCAATTAGGTTTTACAGCCTGTCAAAGTTGCAAAAAGTAAATTTTCAACTGTCAATATTTCCAAAACAGTTGAACTTAGGTATAGGGTATATCACATGAAATCTGCTCAGAATTTTACGTAGAATCCAAATATGCATTTAAAATAGTGATGTTGCCACTAGTTTAGAGTAGAAGCGGCAACACCGCATGGTCAAAAATATTTTTAAAGTGTAGATCATGGTCGTTTATCCCGGTTGCCAAATTTTCAAAATGATCCGCTTTTTAGTTCTCCATAAACGTCTAATACGCCATCCACCGTGGGACACCCTGTATAAATCACAAAAACACCATAAAACACAATTTAACAAAAACTAACCTCAAAAAACTGGCTTTGTTGTTCACTGAGTTCGGCAGACATATTGCTATTTTTCGCGTAATTTAGCGCCATCTATTGGTATAGGAATTTCGCCAATTGGTCAGGATTTTTGACATGATATTTTGACATTTAAGTTCATTGACAAAATTGAAGAAAAATATTGCTAAGACATACGTTTTGAAAGTCATAGCAATCTTAGATTGTTTTTTTTTTTGAAGACCCGATATCATAATTATACAGAATTTTTAGAACCTACTTTGTTTTGTAAAACTTGTATGGATATCGTATTGACTAGTGCAACCACGTTTCGCTTATATTTTGATAATAAAATGCAAAAAATGTATCTGCATTGAGTTTGTCCTTTCTTTTACAAAAAACTATCCACTCCGTTTTGAATAGTTTTGGATAACAAAATCTTTTCCTTTTAGGAAAGCGATGAAATTTAGATTTTTGACTGCTTGCTTTTCGATCAAATAGTTGTTATTACACCCATACACAGCATATTTCATTCCAGGCATATCTATTTTATAAATGTACCGTGCCTTAAAAAAAAAAGGTACCTAAAACATAGACCTATAAAAGAAATGCATGCACATTTTAATATAATATTTATGTGGGCATTTTGAAATTACCTTGCTGATAAGCAGAAGCAAACAAACTGGTCTTCCTAGCCAACCACTCAAGCCTCAAGCACACAAACTTTTGAAGTCTGCCAATTTTAAAATTAATAAATTAATTAAAAAATATTAACTTTATTCGGGTTTGAAAAAAGGACGATTCTAGAACGCTTCAAAACAATCGCACAGTTTATTATTGGAGTTTGTGATAGTGATTGTCATTTTGTTGATTGATAAACTGTGCGATTCTTTTTAACTGTTCTAGAACCGTCCTTATTTCAAACCCGAATAGGCCTATAGTTTTCAAATATAGTCTAGGAGGCAGTGACGATTTTCGGTACTTATTTTCCCAGTCACGAAACATGGATAGAATTGTAGGGTTAGTAATTCTAAGCAAAATTCATATATTTTTATGGGGGGATTTCCGATGGGTTGAGGCTTAAAATGCTTTAGAGCTTATGAATGCACGGCCCTTTTTTTTCCAGTGATAAAAATAAGTCAACTAATCAGAAGTATACCTACTGAAGTTACGTAAAAAATAGTCCGGCTAATCTGTGAGTATGGATAATATGCCTGGCAAGTGAAAAATTGAAGATCCAAAAAACTTCAGCCAGGCTAACTTTCCACTATCTGAGATAAGCCAAATTGCTATGTTCATATAATTTATGTTCTATTGTAGTGGATGTGAAATATTTATGACTGGGAAAATAAGTGTACTTTTATTTTTCATTGATCTAGTGAACCCATCCGAAAATTTTTGCGAAACTCAAATATTCTTGTTTTGTATTACCAAGAGAACAAACTATTCAATATACACCAACTGGGAAAATAAGTGCTAAAAAATTTCACTGCCTCCCGGACTAAAAGGAAATAACCTCAAAATAACAATTTTTCACGTTTGAAAATGCAAGGAAAGTGCACTGTCATAATAAAACACAAACCGATCAAGGACTGCGTGACGTCATTCGCATACCGCCATCTTCGATGTTTTTATGAACGTTTGTCTTATGGGATTGAGCAATCCTGTAGGGTTTACGATTCTTGATTACAACCTATCAAATTTCCTCCGTGCATGCGCACTGGTCCAGGTAAGGCGTTTCAACCAATAGGAAGGCTGGTGTTTGTTTACAATTTAGAATTTAGGTTATTTAATGTCATTTACCATTTACAGTGGTTTCAATCCACTGTCACTGATTCATTATTTTCGTAGTCATTAGTAACCCACTAAGTACTGAAGAATTTAGGAAAAAACGAATAAGAGTCGAGAGTTGAGACAAAATCTCACTGCACAAAGAGTTCCCTTCTGATTTCAGGTATGAATAATAATTCACAAATTAGGTATAAGTAGGTAATCAATCTCCGGCATCTGGGACTGGAAAATGGCACAAAGTCAGCTTCCGGTTGTCAGGTTGTCCCAGATGCAGAAGGCAATACTTACTTAACCCAAAGAAAAAGAACATTGATCGAAATAGAAAATATCAATTAATTTAAAAATTCAGGAATTTTGAAGAAACTAATTTGTGGAAATGAGGTATTATTCTGGTTCAATTTCGATGACCAAAATTTGATAAACGAAATAGAAATTCCAAAAAAATTCAAGAGGAACACAGATCAAAGTCTTCCCTATTATATTATATTATTAGTAGAAGTCAATACCTTTTCCTTTTGTCGTTTTTGTGTAATTTTAAGGGTCACTTTGTGTGATTTTCTGATTTTTAGATATTAAAGTAGAT